CATTGCCGCCTCAACGCGAAAAACCGGGAAGAGCCGTTACCAAAAAAAAAAAAAAAACCTTTCGAGATCCGTCGCTGTCTCCTTTCTCGTAACGCTAAACTGGCGCATCTAAATAACGTCACGTTTCCCCAAGGACGTGATTGGCTGATGATTTCCCCGCCCCCCTCGGCTTGGTCCAATTGGCCCAGAAAGGCGGAAAGTTCCCTTTTTTTGTATATGAGCTGGAGGGCAGGACAGCAGCGTTGCAATGAGCAGGAAAAGTAGCGGGAGACTAGAGGAGGCGATGTTGGACGGTAGAGTATTTTAAAGCATATTTCAAAACGGGAACTCAGGCAGAAACTTTCCAAGTGCCAAACTCACCCTGGCATTATGACAACGTCGTATCTATTGCTGTTTCCTCACCTCTTTAATTGGACCCACGGACGATTTTGCGAGAAGCCGAGTGTGAACTTCCTAATAGTTATGCTTTTATTTGATCCATTTCTACAGCCACGCTGACGGTTACCTGGGAAAGCCACATGTGATTTGCTTTTGGTTTAGATAATGGCGTGAAGTCTTCTGTGCCGGTTGGATCCTTATTGCTTCTGTTGCCAGCCATTCCCAGTCTTCTGATTGTCAGCCAAGACAAAAGTTCTAAGAGACATTACTTTAGGTGCATCTGCAGCAAACGGAGCTTATGTCAAAATGATGAAAGGTGTCATGATATTCCAGTGTAAATTCCACCCCTTAAGTATCCATATGCAAGTGTCATGACATAAGTTGGAGGGAGATGGAGTTTGTGCCACGAACATTTTACCATTTGTCCTTCAGATGCCCAAGACTTTGATGCCTACTTTGGTGCTGGAATAAGTAAGCTACTTTAACAGTAGTACAGGTAGTCCTTAGTTAACAACAGTAATTTGGACCAGAATTTCCATTGCTAAGCTATGTGGTTGTAAAGTGTGATGTCACATGATTGTGCCACTTAGCAACAGCAGTTTCGGCAGTCCCTGGTTACTATCATTAAGCAAGGACCTCACATGATCGTGACTTCTGACTTCCTGATGGCTTCCCCATTAACTTTGCTTTTGGGAAGCTGGCAGGGAAGGTTGCAAATCACAATGAGTGACCATGGGATGCTGTGATGGTCAGAAATCTGTGCCAGTTGCCAAGCACCCGGATCATGATCACATGACTGCAAGGGCGCTGTGCCAACCAGAACTTTGAGGCTCGATTGTAACTACCACTTGTTCAGCTCTGTTGAACAACTTAAATCTTTCTTGCTTATGACCTGGGAACAAGATGAAGGCAAAGTCGTTCATTTATTCAATTTGATTTGTATCCCACTGTGATTGACCACCTCTTGGCAGCTTACAAAGAATACTATAATGACAATGAAAGCATCCACTTAAAATAACTACATAAATGACAACAAAATTAAAACTGTAATAACTTAAAACATGCAATAAATAAAATGAGGGAAATGCTCTCTGGAATAATTCAGTTTTCAATAACTTCCTAAAGGACTGTAAGGAGGGGCGAGTCTGATCTCCAAAAAGAGGCTATTCCAGAATAAAGTTATGGGAACATGGTAGGAAAAGGACATTGCCACAATGTAAGAGATGTCTGGTGATAAATGGCAAGAACAGCATTATGCTGCAAGCTCCACTCCTTTTTTTTTTTCGTGTAATAATTTTATTAAGGTTTAGGAATACAAAGATAGAAGACTAATACAAACTAAGAGAAATATAAAAAGTGAAGTAAAGAAAAAGTGCAGAGAGAGGAAAAAAGAAAAGGGGAAAAAGGAGAAATATAAAAAAATGACTCTCCCTTCCCTCCAGATAACTAAACAACTTCAGTAACTTAACACCTTTTCTAGTATTTCAATAATAAAAAAAAACTCTTCTTCCCATATCTCTTCAATAAACAAATTATAAAAACTCATCATTCAGTCCTATTCAGCAAAAGTCATTAACAGCTACCAGAAATAATAACATACATATTTTAATCTTAATCAAATAAATCCATTTTGTATTCCAACTTATCACTTTCTCAGGAATAAAGCAGAAGAAATCTCTCCCCATTTATAAACAAATCTTCAAAGCCTCGTCATTCAGTCATGGTCAAGAAGAAATTCCATTAATAGCTACCTGCGATGGAAAGTATCTAAGAGGAGAGTGATGTGAGGCTATCAGGAGGGAGGGGGTGCATTCCAGGAGGGGAAAGGAGACAAGAGATAATATAGTCTGCAGGGGGAGCGTGGGAAGCAAAAGAGGTTCAGGATAGCCACTCCCTGGAATCTCCCAGCGTATATTCACTAGTTGCTGTAGTATAGATTTAGTTTGGCAAGATTCTGTCTATAAGATGTAAGCAAATAAAGGGACTGGACTAGACTGTTTTATCGTTCTTGGGCTGGGTCTGACGCTACCAGAAACCACAACATATATATTTTAACCCTGATCAAATAAATTCACTTTGTAGTCCTTCCATTTACTTTTAAAGAGCTTGGTCTTTAATCCCATCAAATAATATCCCACAAGTTGATTTCTTATCATTTTTCCTTCGTCTCCTCTCAGGAACAGCTTCAGTAGTTTAACACATCCCTTTTGTAAATCCAAGATAAGGCTATCCAAGTCACTCTTGATTTATTATTTGTATGTCCCCTTTAGTTATTAAAACACCAGCCAGTTTCATTTGTAAATCCATTGTCACATCTTTTTCCATATCACTCTTATAATCTGTCATTTTAAAATCTGTTTTCAAATCCACATAATCTTTTTCCATATCACTCTTGTAGTCTGGCATTTTTTTAAAACCGATTTTCAAATCCACATTCAAGTCAGCCTCAATCTCTATTTGGTCTAGTAAGATCTGTTCCCCTTCTGTAGCCTCTGTTAAATCCATAGTTAAGAGAGGCAGTGGGCAAACCCTGTGTCCATTTGAAGGCGCCAAGCTGTGACTTAGGCAAGATGATTTTCCCCTGGCTCCCAGAGCTCTCATATCTGCCGGAGATCGCTATTTTTCAGTTTCTTTGTGGGTCTCTGTATGGAGCAAACTTGTGGGTGATCCTAGTCTTTCCCTTAAGCTGGAGAGGGGTTCCGAGGAGCCCATCCATTCATTGGCTCCTCTTTCCCGGCCATCAGCTCCATGAGTAAGTCCATCATTGCTTCCCTGGAAGTCCAAGCTCCACCCCTTTTCAATGTGGTATGTGCACATACAAAGGGGTGGAGCTTATTGGTTTGATGCTTCTAAGCCTGCAGATACTTCTGCATAGCATGTTTACACTGTGGTTACATGCATGTGAGGAAACTGGTTTGTAAACCACAGGTTATAGTTTAAGATGTGTGGACTGAGCTTATAAATCAAAGTCTTCACAAAAAAATTCTGAAGTTCTGTTTTCTATACTTCTAAAATTATGCTATGGCCTAGAGTGGGGCTTTTCAACCATGGTACAAATTGTTTAATGTATTAACCTGAAGAGTGCTCTGAAGCCTGTTGACTGCTTTATTAATTTGGGTGGAAGATAACTGCTCGGTCAATGATTTTTTTTTAATAGACCAAAATAACCTCTCCATCAGAAAATTGCATCTGCCTGTAGTATACTCAAGTATTTCCTGGCTATGTCCACATGCTACAGAGAATGGGGAAATGATAAACAGTAACATATTCTAACCAAGTGTATTGTACAAATTCAGCTGGTATGGCTAGTTTGGCTCAGTGTGGAATAAGAGTCTAATAAACTGGGTTGGATGCTTACATTAACAATTGGAATGTACCCTAAAACCTCAATTCTCCTGACCACCATTCAACAGACTTTGGATACGAAGGACAAAATTTTACTTTGGACTTCACCCCCTAACAATGGACAACCCCCATCATTTCTGAAACACTCTAGATGATTGAAATAATTTATATTATTTGGCTAAATTTATGTCATTTGCATAGTAAAATATAACTTGATGCATGGTTTAATAAAATGTCAATTACATCAATGGGAAATTTGTATTTAGGAGACATCCATTCACTCCAAATCTATTAAATCCAGATTTTAATGTAGGATTTGAATGAAGTGAAAAGCACAGGGATAAACTTTGAAAAATTTTCCATCAATTTTCTTTTTAAACTTCAGAGATTCTGCTTTAAATGTTGTGACAAATATAGGTGGTTTCACAATGACTTTTTAGTCTTGCACATCTTCATAAACCCCTGGTTAACAGAAAGACAGGTTATTGGAAAATTTGAGGAGGGAAAATTAACATTGCAGGAAAATGGGAAGATAGATAAGAGAATATCTGCCAAGGGAACACTGTCTTTTTTGAAAAACGCTAAGCCTACATATACTGCAGCTTGCATATGTAATTGTGTTTACATGAAGACATTGCATGTCCTGCAATTTTCATATCATTGTAGTTTGTTATTGGTACCAGTGTATACTCTCCCTTCTGTATTTAATAGCAGAGTGCTTTCTAGGGTAAAATCAATTAAAGAACAGTTAATTTCTTCTTCATTGCATTGTAGACTCACCCAAATTATCTCATCTTTGCAGCTATTTGTAGAGAAACACCTCCGAACTCTCATAGGTCATAAAGTTTAGGCAACAAAAGCAAATCTCAGTGCCAAATTGTTTCCTATCCCGCCAATTGATCCAATTAGAAAATGTTATCAGCATGATTATGTTCTGTTAATATAGCTTTGCTTTAGCATACTAATATATATCTATAAGGGAATAACTGACATGTCCTTGTGGATGACTTCTACTCACTTTTAAACAAAGGCCATCAAAACACATTACAGTTTCATCATTTACATTAGCAGCTTTGCCACAACTGCCTACAAGGAGGCAATAGGGATTGAATGAAAGATAACGTAACATTTTATGAAAAAATGCTGCTTTATTTATTCCTTATGTAAAAAGAGAAAGCTATGCCTGATTATAAAAATTTGAATAGCTGAAAAAGGAAAAAGAATATCTGAAATTGAAAAAACTACTAAAAAGCAGGATAAGAACAGAAAAATGTCATATATAGTTTATTAATACATTTTATTGTTATACAAATATTGCCAACAACAACTGGGGAACAAAGAGTAGAAAAATTGTTGTTCTTTATATCAAAATTAGATAGCCTTGTTTTAGACTCTGCTTTGCTAAATACTTTATTATCACACTGTGCATCCAGCAGGAACCCTTGAATTACAATGGTAAAGAATTGGTTCTTTGAGGACTAAAGATCTATGTCTTTTTGTACTGGTCAGCTGCAAAAAAGCCCCTATATTAAATGACTTTAAGTAAGATTTAAAAACTACAGAACAGTAGGTATGATGCTGATTATAGTACTCATAGCCATTGAACAGCACATAAATCATTACAGTGCCAACTTTACATCATCTACTTGTCACGAAATTGGAGGGACCAATTATAAAGAAGTCTGTAAGTGAAAAAAAAATCCAGAAGTTTGCTTATTTGAAGTTAATGTGAAAGTAATTGTGAATCTCTTCAAAATAACTGTTCATTCTGGTCAGTACCATAATTTGTGAAAAATTCCACTTATATGCCAACATGCCAAGGTAATTTTATGAGATTTCCATTTTGTTCTAATCAACAGTATTAGATTTTTAATGGATTGGATACAAATTTACTCATATTTAGACAAGATTCACATAAATTAATGGAATAAAACTCAACATGATTAAATCCCATAGAGTTCAATGAACCTGTTTGGGGAGCTGCAACCATATTTGATCTGTCTAATGGGAAACCCAACAAACTCTCACAAGATTTCCATAAATTCTTCTGTGAGATTAGTAGAATTTTACTGAGCGTTAGTATTCTCACTTAAGAGTTCAGACTTCTCACACAAGGAATCATGTTTTCCTAAGATTTTGGTGATTTTTAAAAAATCTGGGGGAACTTGGGGACATCTTTTGGGCATCCAGTAGACATCAGTGTTCTTATCTCTGGTCTAGTATGAATTCATACCATAGTGTATGTGCATTTACAGCTGCCTTAATTCTTTTTTTTTTCCCCTTTTGTCAGTATGATACATGGCTTCAATTTATTTAGAAAGTTTAACAACTATGGCATTTTCCTCTGTCATCAACCCTTGACAAGTCAGTTCAGAGAAAAGTCCTTACATAAGACAGTTATATAGATAGTACTGTACAGCATCATATGAACCAAACAAAGTGGAAGTATGGGAAGACATTTCTTGCAATTAATATTCTTTGAATACTGTCTGTAACCATATCATATATTCAGTTTATCTACTTCCATTTTATACATTTATGAGCTTATTCAGTGAATTGTCCTAGGTTCAACTTATTGTGTGTTACTGGCGGCATTTTGAACAATACTATTCCATCTGTCACATTGTGGCCTAAGCACATGCTACTTCCCACTCTTTTCCCCACGTATAGCTGAACGCTATAACTGTTTGAATATATAATATAGTACTAGATAATCCTTTCCTTCCATCTGTACATACAGTGGGAAGCAGTATGGATTTCTATATGGGTAAACTACTTAATTAACACTGATTTTTGGAGTTCCAGTTCAGGTATTCCCATGTTGCAGAGTTGTAGACAAAATAACACTATTTATATATCAGTAGACTGACTAGATATCAACAGACTGACTAGGTTTGCCAATAATTAAAAATAATCTTTTAAAGTGTTGTTGTTTTTCTCTAAAGAGGAGTCCTCAAAGGAAAAAAAATCTGGTAAGTTTTCTGTGCTATAAAATGTTGATCAGAAAAAAAAATGGGTGAAGGGAAAATGGAATAGAGTGATTGGAAAGGCAAAAGAGAAGACACACATCAGTATACCAAAAGTAACATATAATTTGCTGGATAAGTTATTTCTTAATTCATAGTCAGAAGGAACACAAAAGTGAGTACTCTCTGTAAACCTAAATAAATCAAATATTTTAACATAGGGATATGGTAGAATTTGCTTTGACTAATAATATCCTTTTTTGCATTAATGTTGACCATGAGTGTTTTTGTTTTTGTGAATCAAGACTGTCTTAATGTACAAATGATAACATTATTAAATTCATAATGATGTAATAAGAAGACAAAGCATGAAAAGACATTTGGCATGAAAATAGACTAGCTGAAAAATCAAAGATGCTGCCAAATCATAAGATTAAATTCTGCAAACACCCATGATATATCCATTAATCTAGGGATCAGCAGTGTGGTACTTACTGAACTTCCAAGTAGACCCTTTACAAAATCTTGGCAAACTTCTGAAGTTTCTTTGATTTGGGAAGGAGGTAACCAGGTTATACAATGACACCTGGGACTGGAAAATATATCCATCCCTGTGTTAATCACATCAGCAGAACTGTAGAATCTGAAAACAACTCACTCTTGGATTGCATCACAATATAATTACTTAAATGCTTTGAATAAAAAATTTAAGATAATCAATTTTTGGAAATATCTGAAGTACCCTAGAAAATATATACAACACATTTATTGAAACATAATTTAAATTCTTGGAAATATTACATTTCCATTCCCTAGTTATACCTTTTCATTCTTTTTTTAAAAATGGATTTTTTTCAATTAGATGCAAAATGTTCAATATTTTGGATAAAAGACTGTTTTTTCATTAATTTGCTGAAAAGTCCATTTGGATTTGCAAGCAGTGTTTCATGCTTTCCACACTCAACTATTCTGCCTTGGTCCAGAACTGCAACAGAATTAGTATTCTGAATGGTGGAGAGTCGATGAGCAATAATAAGAACAGTTCTGCCTTCCATGAGCCGATCTAATGCTTCTTGGACAAGATATTCATTTTCAACATCCAAAGCACTAATTGATGAATAGAATGAAAAAAAAATGTTAGAATTTATTAATCTTAGTGCAGAGAGTTTCCTAGAGGCTAATTGTCTGCCCAGTCTATTTTCTTTTCATTTAAAATTTCTTCTAAGTGGAATTTTTAAAACAATATTGAATGATGTCAACATTTTTAAACAAAAACAATTATTTAAATTCTTGAGAGACTTGCTTTCATTAAAGAGAAGGCAACTTTTCACAGATGATGTCCCCAAAAATGAATTAAAACATTCTCATTTTTAATCTGCAATTGAACTAACTCATTTATAGCATATAAGAAGTATCACAGAACTGTGAAACAGGAATGACTTAGAGAGGAAAGCTTGACAGGCTTCCAGCATACTATAGTCTTCAGTATTCCAGAAAGTGGGGAAGTTTGTATACTTGCACAAAACCAGTCATGAGGTCTGTGCAACTTCCACTTATCGTGAGAATTGTATCTTTTGGTTTGGACCAGGTGAAGCACTTCACCAGCCTGGTCTGCAAGCATCTTAACATATTAGAGCACACTCTTACAAACCCTTCTATAAAGCTGACTGGAAGCATTATGTGGATGCATGGCTTCAGACTCATGAAAGACATCTGGAATAGCGCATGTGTGCTTGTGCAGGCACATTTGGAATTCTGTCAGGATGTTCTGAAATGGAACAAAATGGCTGCTCTGGGACAGATTCCTATTAATAAAACGGTTGCCACAGTAGGCATGGCTAGTCACAAAACACCATTTACCGTACAGCAAACTTATGAAATTCACATTTCCTCTGACATCTAGGATGCTATCATTCCAGCTGAAAAGAGGAGCAGTATCTGAACAATGGCAGACAAAGTGGAAGCTACAAAAGTATATTCCACACTGAGGAAAATACATGTAATTTTACCATAAAATCAGTAGTAAAGATATCAGAAAGTCCCAGGGGTTTTGAATATTAATCTTCTAAGAAACAATTTGAAAACTGTCCCAGCTACCCATCATTCTTCTTAATTTTTATTATTTACCTTGTTGCTTCATCAAGGAGAAGAATTTTGGGATTCTAGAGAACAAAATGAGAACAAAAAGGTTGAGACTGGATGTCTACTTTATGCAGATTTTTTTTAAAAAAGGAATGCCACTTTTATCATAGGTTTTAGTAGGCATCAAGAGATGTGTTAAGTTTTCTCTAAAGCAGTACTAATATATCACTGAAATATTTTATCACGGAATACAAGAGAGAGAGAGAGAGAGAGAGTCTGTCAAGCTTCAAAAGGCATATCTTTTCAAAGCCTTTTTCTTTCATGTAAAGACTTGGTTAAATATTACTAACTGTAAGACATCCAAGACACTATGTATTTTTAAAATAACCTGCAAACTCTAAATAATATTACTACATAGCCAACTATCCCAGTTAAAATAAAAGATACTTTTAAAATCCTGATCAAGTTTACTATCTTCCTAGGGTTCATGAGTGATTGTTTCCACAACTGGCTGTTTTAGAAAAAACTATAGAGCAAGTTTCCATAATTACAAGAAGTTTTACTACTGTTTAAAAAATGTGATGCAAATGACAGAAAAGTAACAATAGACTGTTAAAATATACAAAATAAACAGTATATTGAAACAAAAATAAATATATGAGAATTATCATAAAATGCAGTGAATGCATGAGAGTTCCTATTTCTCTTAATTCAGCTAATTAAACCACTTTTGTCACATATTTTCCTTGTTCCTTTTCTCTTTTTAAAGGCACAGAAGAAAAAAGGCTTACCTTCAGAAGAGCTCGAGCAATTGCAATTCGCTGCTTCTGCCCACCTATGCATAAAAATATGATGTAAATATTGTATATATTTTATGTATACCTATTTATGTTTTTTAAAAATGTACTCAGTCATTCAAAACAAATGATTTATAAGTTGGTTTATTTTTCTTTTCTTTCACCATTGAAAAATCTGACTTAAATGGAGAGAGTGATTATTGCACCGCAGTTTGACAACAAGATTAAGTGTTTTAATTCAGTTCAAGGGATGACATTAAAATCTGTATAATCAAGCACATGCCATTCTAAGAAAAGGTATCTAGATGCTGACAGAATAGTATTTGTCAACAGAATAGATTCTTTCCTTTCCTCCTTCCCATCTCCCTTAACTACAGTGACCATATTTTCTTGGAAAAAAATATAGGACAAACCTGAAAAAGGGGCAAATCTGAAAGAGGTTCATAAGGATAAAAAAAAAATTAATTGTTTATGTTTATAACTTTGCTTTGCAAAAGAAAATTCAAGAGCAAAACGAAGAAAAACTTTACAGAAATGCATATTCTAATAAAAATATCTAAAATCAAACATTATATGTACATTTATTTTAAAAAGACAATTCAATTTCCATATTTTTCACATAAATGTGAAAGACTTGTGCCATTTGTATGGTAAAAGTTAAATGACCAAAATAAAGGACAAAACTGAGTTTTTGAAAAATAAATAAATCTAAAGGACAGCTTTCTGAAATAAAGGACATAATACAGGATGTATGGTCGCTGTACCCATATCCCTCGAATCTGCTCGGGAAGGCCAGAAAACCCTTTGGAGCAGATTTGTGGTGTAGCAAAATGAAACACGCACAGCAGAATGACACAGGGAAAGGCAATCCGTTCTATAACAGCCATAAATTACAAAAATAGATTTTTAAATGACATAGTCTTACCAGACAGAAGAACACCTTTTTCTCCAACTAAAGTGTGGAATCCTTTTGGAAAATTTTGGATAAAATTAGAAGCATTTGCAATTTTGGCAACTCTCTCAATTTCTGCAGGAGTTACTGTGGAAGGATCCTCTGCACCATAGGCTATGTTTTCAGCAATAGAGCATGAGAACAGAGTGGGTTCCTAGTGAATGAAAAAGCATAGGGAATATGGCAACACAGCTACACACATACCCAGATAAGATCATAAATAAAATAAATAACATGTGACCTAAGAGATGAAAGAGAACACTTTTTTTTCCATAAACAGTGATGAATACAAGTACGATTGCTTTAAGGGGCCATGGGGCAAATTCAAATGCTGGAGAGGAGAAAAAAAATGTCCTCTGACATCCTCAAAGAAATTAGGTAAGCAAATACTATAAAAAACTCTGCTTCTCTTTTACCTGACTTACTGTTCCAATATTAGTCCTGAACCATAGTGGATTTAGCTGACGGATATCAACCCCATCAACAGTAATGCTTCCTTTAATAAATTAAGAGACTGTTGTTAGATAATATATTAGACAATGATGAGGGTGGAGAGAGTAAAAGTGTACAAAAATTCATAATAATGACACTATCAAATAGCAGCATTAGAAATATTCAGTTTTTTAAAAACATTCTAGGCAAGAACTGGTTTCACCTTGCATAGAGTAAGTGATTTCTAGAGACATCTTTTTAATATAAGAAATGATTCAAGCACATATATGTCAGCTCCAATCAATTTAGAAGAGTGTAGGAGAGGCACATTATATAGAGATTGCCTGAAATATTGCCTTAATTGTAAAAAAAACAAAAACAAAAACAAGATGAGTGAAACATGAATCTGAATTTGTTTTATATATTGTTCCTTTTTCAGTAATGGATAAAGGCTTAAGCTATGAAATGGCAACAAACGTTTACTTTTGGCAATTAATGCCTCCTTTCTAAGACTGCATTTCATCTCAATACCGTTATTAATAAGCTTTCAACTGATTCTACAAAGGCCCTACTTCTCCATGAGCAAGTTGTGTTTTCATCTTTACTCAGAAGTATACCCAGCAACAGATGTTCATATTCACACAAACACATGTAACTACCTGAGAGTGGATCATAAAGCCTCAGTAGAAGAGACACAACCGTCGATTTGCCAGAGCCACTTGGGCCCACTAGTGCCATGACAGAGCCTGCAGGGATGCTGAGAGAAAAGTCTTGAAAAATCAATGATTCTGGACGTGTTGGATATGCAAATTTGACATTTTTGAACTCAAGAGCACCTTTGAAGGCATCCTGGTTTAATACTGTTCCCTCTAAATAGGAAAAAATGCAAAAATGAAAATAACATCAATAGTGTATCATTCAAACACATTTTAGTAAAGACAAACCCAATTATTTGCACTAAAAATTTAGTAAAAGAAAAAAAAATCAATATGATACTTTACTAAGATTCTGTAGACTAGAGTTACATGAATCTGGGCATCCTGAAAGATGAGCCATCCAATGATTTGGGCTTGTCTGCTTATGTAACAAACCATGAATCCCAGCTGTTGGTACATTTGGGAAATGCAACAGCTCCTCCTCTGGTGGTTCACTAAGACCTCCTGCTGGTTATGGTTGACTTGGGCCCAAAGGCATTTATTCTCACTTCGCCCCAGCACTTATAATGTAGCTAGACCAGGTCTTCAATAACAGCAACAAAGTTATCATGACAGAGAATGGGAAACAAAAGGATCATGATTTACAAAAGAGAAGGCAGAATGACAGAGTATATGTCACAGCCAGAATAGAAATTATCAGTCATATTCCTGACAAGTGATCATCAAGTCTTAAATCATCTCTTTCTGGGATGTATGGTGTTACTGATTAGAGTGCTAACTCCATCATCCATTTCTATTCAAATTGTCATAATTGTACTTTTATTGTGCTTTACTGCACCCTGTAAGGCATAGGCAGACAAGTTATTGGGGGTGGGTGGGGGGAATATATATATATATATTAATGGCCTTACAGGGCAGCAGGGGCCATGGCCAGTGACATAATGACATAGTAATCATTTTCATTTTAGGAAATTTGTAGGGAAGATTTTAAGGAGAAAAATGCCCTGACCATAAGGCACTATTTTGGACTTTAAACTCTCACAAGATGTGAAAAGTAGTTTGGGAAAATTTCTAAAAGGTGAAGTGGGTGCCTTAAGTCCCCCCAACAGCTCAAACATATTAAAAAGATCTAAAGATATTTTCAAAACAAGATACCAAATTATGCAATTAAAACTATTAAAACCAAAGTTATAGTTTGAACTTTCCCATGAATTACCCACAAAACTTTAATAGCGTATCATGTTAATCATCAGTCATGGCAAGTTCAAACATACAATAATTGTCCTTCTTAAAGCTTAATACATGTGGGTCATGCTGTGTTTTCCATGCATATTTACTTAGAAGTTATGTATTCCCACTGTTTTCCGGAGTTTTAACCATCTAAAAGGCTGGTACTCACAAAAACTGTGCCACAACAAATTTACCTATTCTGTTGTATTTTGTGGCATCAAATGAATAAGTTTATTCCTTGGGATCATTTATGACATTAAATGTGTAATTTGTCAGCATTCTTGATTAAAATCACTTCTAATTTATGAAAAAGTTAGTTTTTGTATGATATTGCATGATGTATGGATATTTTACCAGCTTAAACAACTGCAAAATATAAGAACATTACCATTAAAAGGAAGTTGTGGCTTTCGATCAATAAGTTCCCACAGACGCCCTCCTGCACCCAAACCTTTCATTAACTCAGTATAGAAAGAGCTTAATCCTAGGAAAGAAAAAAAACCCCTATTGTTATACATATTCAAAAACAAGTATTGCATTTTTGTTGAATAAGCTCTGCCAATCAGTGTTCAAACAGTCGAAATGAAATAGCCAACTAGTACAGCTAAACAAGGAATAACCTAAGATTAGACTGTTTAGGGCAGAAACAGTAATTGGGCAGGGGTTCTGCCTTTCCCCCTTCATTTCCACTCTCAGCAGCAGAGAAAGTAAGCACATCACCTGGAACTATTTATCTGCTTCCCTTCTCTTTCTTTTAATAAAGCACATTAATAAAATGGCTGGCAGAACTTCTGTGGGCAGGTTATCTCTCACATTCATCAGAGTTGGAATCTGTTAACCATTCAAAAGACTCAGTGAATGCTCTTGCTGACACCTGATCCCTTTAGCACCTGAAGAATTGTTTGGCCAGTTTGGTGCAACAAACAGGGTTCTGTAAGGAGAGGTTAACCCTTGAACAGCAGGAAAGGAAAAATGGGCAGGAGACAGATAATTTGGGGACAATTCTGAATTTGGTTACAAACTCCTTCTAAAGAAGCATTGTGTATTCTTCTTATATTAGCAAGTTTTAAAGATTTAATTTCTACCACTAATGTTATTGCAACGGATAGAAATTCTACCGTGCCTTAATCCTCACTCCATACTCCTTTACAGACCATTGCTTCTGTGATTGTCCTAAAAGAGACAATGCTTCACTTTAATGGAACCTAATTCTGCTTCTATAGATGAACTTTTGAATTAAATGAAATCTATTAAGATAAAATATAAAGACATCTGGTGTGTATCAGATACGTATGATATAACAAATAACATTTTCTACCCAAGAAGCAAAATTCTACAATATCCATTATAAAAATTAATAACATTTCCATATTCATTATTATTTTGCACAATGCATACCATTTTAAGCTATTTTGCACACTTTGCTGTAGTCTTCCTAGTCGTGAAAGGTGATACAGCATTATATACAGCACTTAAGGCTCTTATTTACTTTTATTCATTTCAATATTATTCAAATGCACCAATCATTTGAGGTTTCAAAGACACATTTTCAAACATATCACTCCCACTATAGGGCCTGGAATGTTTATTTTTAAAAAGAATATTGAGATTGGTCATAGAATTCAATTTTTGAACACTATTGCGTCTTGCAGATTGCCTGTGTTTCCACTGAATCATGCCATGTATTCATCAGAAGTATTTAGTAATGCAAATAATTTAATGGACTCCGTGTATTGCTCTTTAAGAGTCATTGTTCAATTAGATCACCCTTCCCATCCCAGTGCTATTCCAGAATTATTCTCAGCCAGCAGGGCCACTAGGCAGACAAGCTAGCAATTTTGGGAAATGTACTTGACACATCTGGAGAAAAGCAAGCTGATCTCACCTTCTGATCTGACATCTTGCCTATTTTAAACATTTAATTTTAAGCATGTATTACCTCTAATGCTTATGCCAACCCAGAAAGCGTACATTAAGAACGAAGACAGTTCACCAACAGTCATATGGGCACTACCCAGCAGTAATCCTCCTTTGTACAGAACAAAAAGCACAATCAAATTGCCTGATAATCCTGTCTGCAAAGAAAGAAAGGGAAAAAGTGCTGATTGCAGGGCTCTCAGTATAATTCTTCAGAGCTGCATCTTCTACAAGGTCCTCAGATTTATGGATGAATATTGCAAGAGAGGGAAGGACAGACACCCCTCACCCATCCTCAGCCTAAAATAAGACCATGAAATGTATCAAAATAGTACTCTTACTACTTAGACTTCCATAATTAAAATCACCTATCCTTTAATCCAGATTATTTTAGAGATTTTTAGGCACTTTCAGATGACCAGCCTTTTCAACTTCCAATCCAGAATTCAGTTTCAAATGCACCCAAGAATGTTTTGATTATTTTTAGTTGTATTCAGATTTTGAAGGCTATCATCATAGGCATATTTACATGGTTGTAAGCTTACACAACTCTAGAACCACCAGGCAATGAGTACTTACCTTTCTGGCCAATAGTTGAGCCCAGAGAATTATCAGCCAATTAGTGATCACTTGCTGGCTAGTAATGAAATGCTTCATCCCACCTCCTCAGATTCATAGCTAAACACATACAGTATCTCATCCGTCTTGTCACAATAAAACAGGATGAACTACTAGTGTGTCCATGTGTTTCTGTGCTTGCCTTGGCGGCAAATTTCATTGCCTTCTAAACTTCTAAAGCAGTCAATTTACTTAACCATGCTGCTATTGCAAGATGCCAGGAAGTGGGAAGGAGGATGAACCAAAGTTCCCCTCTAATGAGATCACAGACCGTCCCTTTAAACACAAGGCAGCATTATGTTGATATTTCCGAAACAGCATTCACTGCCTTGAAATGGCATTTTGCATCCATAGCTTCAGTTCTACTGGAGATATTGATATTGTATGCAATTATAAGGTGCTGGTTACAATGCATGTATATTAATTAGGGAGGGAATCATCTTGCAGGTTTCTATCTTTGTCTGAAGGACTCCATGGCTGAACAAATAAATACATGTTAGTAAGTACATGTATGTCAGAAGCAACACTGGGGGGAAGGCACTTTCAGAAAATATTCTGAAATATTTTCAGAAATAACTTGGTTATTTGGGGGACCATAACTGCATCTTTAATCATTACAAACATTGAAAGATTTGTGTCAAAGAGAGAAATATAAATCTAAGACATGATTGATTTGACTGACTGTGATGAAAGCTGAGGGAATTAATGAATGGTCAAGGGTGATAAGAACATGTGAATGTGAGAAAGACCACTTCTTAATAATCCCAAAAATAGATCTTGGGGGGAAAAAAGGGACATGGAAGTGGAAAAAGCAATAGTTCAAGCAGAATGACTGCAGGAAGAGCAAGCACAAATGAAAATACTATGTGAAAAAGTATTCAAATATAACTTAATCTCCCAGAAGAATGGAATGTGTATATAAGAACTGAGGGTGTAGAAGCTATTTAGAACAATGTGAAAATGATTTCAGTTGTGACAGAAATATGTGGAGTTATATTATTGGGGCATTTGAGAAAAGATGCTTAGCAAAATCATAGTGAAAGAGACTGGATGAGGAAAAAATTCACATAGAAAGATTACTGCAAAAGGTGGTGAGAGAAAGACATTGTATAATGTGTATAGAGAGAAAAAGATAGATGCAAAGAATATAGTCCAAGAGAGCAAGGAATGGTTAACACTAAACAAGGCAAATGAAATGCAGAGGAATTTTAATGGAAATAAAATTTTCCTTCAGAAGTGGGTGAATAAAGCTAAACAAAGAGTATCCATCAGAGTGAATGGAATTAAAAATAAAATAGATAAAATGATCTGGGATATTATTTATTTATTTATCAAATTTTTATAGCTGCCCATCTCACAAACAAGTGACTCTTATTGAAATGAGGAAATGCTGGAATGAGTATTTGAGAGATCTGTATGAGAATGACAATGACATATTGAGGAGTGGAACTGAAAGCTCCAGTATTATAAATATTGTTGTTCAAGAAAAAAAATAATGAAAAAGAAGTCATTCATGCTATGAGAAAGTTGAAAAATGGTGAGACTGCAGGAGTATACAATATAATGGAAGAAATGTTAAAATACGATGTGGTTTGCTTTTAGAGTGGCTGTGCAACTTTTTAATCTGTCTGTGAAGACTACATCAGTGCCTGATATTTGGAAAAACGTTCCTTTATACAAAGGAGAAGTAGGAAGAGAGTATTAAAAAAAAACCCACAAGGGGATTAATTTGGTAAGCATGGGTGGTGTATGGGGTGTCCAGCGAGGGGTAGCACCTCTGGTGGAGGGGCCTTCCATACCCTTTCTAGGGCTGCTTGTTCACCTTTGGTCCCCACCTAGCGCTCAGCTCTCACCTGTGGCTCCAAGTAGCTGTAACATGTGCAGTGACCACATCCTGGTAAATTGTCTTGGCAAATGGGCCAAAGCAGGTGAGGGTAGCCAATGGGTCTTTGACTCTTGGGAGGTCTTGGATTGCGTGGAGTCTACCAGCATTGAGTCCCTGATTATCAAAGCCCAGATGCGGTAGGTGGGACATGTCATCAGAATGGATGACAACTGTATGCCTCGCTAGTTGCTCTATGGTGTTATTGTCTCTATGGTGTCAGCGACCAGAAAGAGACCTCAAGGTCAACCACGTAAGTGCTACAAAGACACTGTGAAAGAAACCCTATGCCATTGTGACATCCAGCCAAGGGAACTAGAAGCTGCGGCTGCTGACAGTACCCACTGGCGAGCTCTGTGCTATGAAGCCTCCGCCGGCTTTGAAGACAGGTGCTGCCAAAAACTGATAGAATAGAATAGAAATCTTTATTGTCATTGTACAACTTGTACAATGAAATTAATGCCACCCCAGTGCAGCTTT